GTGAAAAATCAGTCAGATATATTTGATTTTCAGTTTCTTGGTTTTCCATTCTTTTACATTGACCTATGTGTCTGTCTCTCTATCAGTACCACACAGTCTTCATTATTGTAGCTAATAATAAATCTTTAAATCATGTAGACAGAGTTCATCTACTTAATTTTGCTTCTTCAGAATTTTCTTAGCTATTCTAGCCTTTTTGCCTTCCCATATAAATTTTAGAATAATCTATTTCTTCAAAATATCATGCTGGGATTTTGATAAGAACTGCATTAAACCTGTATATCAATTTGAAAAGAATGGACATCTTTACTATATTGAGGCTTCTAGTCCATGAGCACAGTATGTCTTTAGATATTATTTTATTTTTTAATTGCCTTTGGGTAGTTTTCAGCATGTAAGTTCTATACGTATTTTGTTAGATTTACACTTACCTAATACAAAGTAGTATTTTTTTGAGTTACTATAAATGGTATTCCAATATAAATTTTGCTATCAATGTGTTCATTGACCGAATATAGAAGTACAATTGATTTTTGAATGCTTATTTTATATCCTGTAACCTTGCCAAACTCACTTATTAGTTGTAGGAATTTTTCTGCAGATTCCTTGAAATTTTATATGTAGACAATTATATATATATATTTAAAATAAAAAATATTTATTTGAGCTTCCATTATTTTGGGTTTCTGTTAGGGACAAATGCAGCAAAGCCTAGCTGAACTCTCAGACTAATTATAAGGTGATTTCTACTTTGGGATTTTACTCTATCTTGGGTTTTTTTGAGAATGGAGCACAAATTCACTCTTCTCTCAGATTCCCTCTAAACATATCTTGAATTTCAGATAACATAGACAATTATGTATTTGAAAATAAGGACAGTTTTATTTATTTTTTTACATCCTGTATACTTTTTCTTGCTTTTTTTCAACTGGTTAGTACTTAATGAATTTTCTGATATGATCAGATAGTTGGAGAAAGTGATACTGTGTGTGTGTGTGTGTGTATTTGGTAAGAACGATAATATTTCTAATCAAGAAATGTAGCGGGGTGTTAGTTTATAACATAATACAGAAATTTTATGAGTCTCTGATACTCTGTCAGTTAAGCGGATGAGTGGGAATAAGTAATGGAAATCTTCCTACTGTGATACAGGTGGAGAATGAATTAGATTATGCTCGTTCTGAAATAGAACTCCTCAGGAGCCAGGTGACAAATGAGAGAATCTCCATGCAGAATCTAGAAGCTTTGCTGGTGGCCAATCAAGACAAAGAATATCAGTCTCAGATAGCACTTCAAGAAAAAGAATCTGAAATTCATCTTCTGAAAGAACACCTTTGTTTGGCAGAAAATAAAATGTGAGTTGGTTAGCGATATAACAAAATCATATTCCTAAAGTCATATTTCTACTAAACAAATAATAGGTTAGTAGAACTTTAAAGCTGGAATTTATACAATTTACGCATCCATAATTTGCCATTAATTAGACTGAGGACCAGAAATATTTTGATTTGCCTAAGATTTAGTACTTATTTATATGTTTAGCTAAATTGATTTAAATTTAAGTTTAACCATCTCTGTTGATTATTTCCAGTAGAGCTTTGACTATAATAGGATGTCTGGCCTAAAAACATTGCCTTTAGGAAATATTATAATCAGATTAGAAACAAAAACACTTTTGAAACCAGGAGAAGTTTTCTATTTATGGACCCACCTGATATTGCTACCTAGCCTTTCCATTTGTCACACAGTATTTTCTTATGTACTTACAATTATAAATACTAAGTACCTGGAAGAAATCCTACATTCACCAAATACTGAAGACTTCCCTTAGAGTTGATGTGGGCTTAATTAATTAATTAATTTTCTTTTTTATTTAATTTATTGGGGTGACACTGGTTAACAAAATTATATGGGTTCCAGGTGCACAATTCTACAACACATGACCTGTACTCTGCATTGTCCGTTCACCACCCCAAGTCAAGTCTTTGTCCATCACCTCTTTCGCCCTCATACCTTCTCCCACCTCCCCCCACCCCAACCACCACTCCCTGGCAATTGCCACACTGTTGTGTCTATGGGGGCTTCTTCTTTTAGAATCCCTAGCACACTAGCAGCTTATTACATGACCCTGGCTGGAAGGTTGGGTAGAAATGCCTGCCTGGATAGTGAATGTTCTATTATTAAACTTGGTCACCTTGGGGAATGAGGTGGAGGGAGGCGAAGAGGAGGAGGAGACATCTGTAATACTTTCAACAATAAAGATTAAACCTATTCTAAAAAAGAATACATTGCCAAAATATATTCCTTTTGTCACAATATAATTTTTTCTGTGTGTTGGTCTCCATTTCAGTCTTCATTGGGTAACTGAATATCTTCATATGTGTTGTCATTTGAGTGCAAGTGCATGTTTGTCTGAAAGATTGTTTCATTGTAAAAATATGCACATCTTATTTCCACCAATAAAATCTTTCAGGAAAAAAAATACCTTGGTCACCTCTCACAAAATACTGACGGGGACCCTTTGCCTCTCTTCTTATCTATCTCATCTATAACATTTTTTCATACATTCTCAGCTTTGCTCTCCTGTCTGAGCTTGGGACCTGGGGAAGGATAGGAATCATGGTCCCAGCAATCAGCCTCTCATAGGAGCCCCTGACTAAGCAAAGTCTGCAAAGTCAAAGCCAGTTTCCTTCAGAAACTATTTTCAGGTTATGGCAACTGTCACCAAGTCATTCTTTTTAGTCACTGCAGCTGGGCTGTTGTGATACCTTCAGCTGGTTCTGCAAAATCCCTTTCTCAAGCTGGCAGGTGGAAATCTACATTAATGAAGTATGCCAGAACTCCCACCTTGAAGGGTACATTCTGTATTAGACTGGCTGATAAGTACTACCACTTAGAACTGGTAAACATGATCAACTTTTGTGTTCTTAGCCTCTACGTTTAGATTTCAGCAGTCTATAGTGCAGCCTGGAAGCAAGCAAAGAGAGGGTAGAATGTTCTGTACAAGCAGCATTCACCTCTGTCATTACCTTCCCCATGATAGTGTGCCCTGCTACAGGGTTTTTGCAGCATGGTTTAGCCCTAAAGAAGATCCTGTGAAATTGAAGAGTGTGTATACATGTATATCAAATTTAATTATAAGTATACATAAAACATTTGTTTGATTTAATATATACAACAGACCATATGAGTCATGGTGCTAGCAACTTCCAGTTTTGATTATTTGGTTGTATAATTACATTGCATATAATATTTCAAAGTACTTTTATAAAAATAATTTGCAGTAAATAGATAATCTAGATAGATAATAAATGATATTACTCCATGTAAATACAGGGAAGCTGATACAGAGAAGGTTTAACTGATTGAATGTGAGTGGCACAGCTTAAGCTTTTCAAGTAGGCTACTTTGTGCATTTACTACATCTAAAATTGGCATATACATTCATGAAAATCACAATATTTTAAGTTTAATCAGCTGTCACTCTTATATTCTTTTACACAGCGCCATCCAGAGTAGAGATGTGGCCCAGTTCAGGAATGTCGTAACGCAACTGGAAGCTGATTTAGACATTACCAAAAGACAGCTAGGGACAGAGCGCTTTGAGTGGTAAGTTAATCTCTGTGCAATATTTAGCCTGAGAAGCATTGTTTCTTAGATAACAACAGATTTGCTTATTCTGTGATGGCTAGGTTTTAAAGTATGAATTGAACTTCAGTTTTACCACAGTATTAATAATGTTACTGGATATAAAGTTTAAAAGCTTCTATTTTTAAACTTTTTTGCTTTAGGGAGAGGGCTGTGCAAGAACTTCGCTGCCAGAATTACTCCAGTAATGCTTATCATTTGAGTTCTACAATAAAGCCAAATACAAAATGCCATTCACCAGAACGTGCTCAACATTGATCTCCTGACTGAGGCCTAGATTGATTACTGGAAGAGCGAGTGGTTTAAGGATCCATTCTGTGGGGGCCATGTAGTAATATATACATGAATATTTGAGGGTGTAAGGAAATTCAATAACAGTCTATCATAATAGTGCTATTTAAACATGATTAGCTATGTTCATATAAAAATAAAGTATTTTGATAATTAGTTTTATATAAATATTCTAAAGTGAAAGCTCTCTATTTTATATTTTAAATCTGACTTATTAATTTCTACATCAATTTTTATTAAATTTTAATTTTTAAATTAAATTAGCTTATTAACTCTAATTAATAAAATATTGTTTATTTTTTTGTTTGTTCATGTCTTTTATGAACCCATATACAATTATTCATCTTCTGGTTTGTTGAAGCAATAGGTCAGACATTTGCCATAATAATGTTTGTCACAGTGGCTGGCCATAAAAACTCCAGCACCACTTTCATCTGAAGGGCACCCCTGATGATTTACTCTACGTCAGCATAGTTACTCATCTGTTCAGTCCCAGAATGCCTCAAAAATGTTTCAAGATTTCTCACCTATGTAACTACAGTAAGCAGACCAACTTTTTTTTTTTTTAAGATTTAGGATGCAAATGAAAACACTTTGGGTATTTTAAAAAGATAGCCAATAACAGAAAAAAGTTTGTACTCTTTATAAATGAAAAATGTACTTTTATTACATAGCCCAAACCAGACAATTAATGTAAAAAGAAATCATTGTAAAAGCTGACATAAGTGGAGCCATTTTAGAGTGGAGTCAGAGCAGCTGTTTTGGAGGAACGCCTTGCATGTCTTCTTGAATCTTTGGAATGTTTGAACTGGGCAAAACAACTTTAGGACTAAGCCAAGCAATACTGTCTTATAAACAAATGTTTGTAAAGCCAGCAGGGTTTCAGATCCTGATTTCAAATGTTTGTAAAGTTATGTATGTGGACTTACCATTATGGACTTTATTTTCAGTAACCAATCATACACAGCTAAGGGGTACCCCAACTTCTCAGGGCCAATAGGAATTCTTTCCTCTTCCCTTCTTATAAACCCCCTTCACCCTCACCCTATGATTGGGAAACTATATGGGTTTCTGCCTAAATTTGTGCTGTGTGGATTTCAGTTCTTTGATCCCAAATAAAAGATTATTGGCTCTCATTTTAGTTTTTAAATTTTAAGTAAACATCATAAAACCATAAGTACTCAAATTCTTAAAAGTATTATTGCCCAGTGGGCGTGGCTCAGCGATTGAGCATTGACCTAGGATCCAGGCGATCGGGGTTCGATTCCTGGTCAGGGCACATGCATGGGCTGTGGGCTCGATCCCCAGTCAGGTGTGTGCAGGAGGCAGCTGATCAATGACTCTCTCATCATTGATGTTTCTATCTCTCTCTCCCTCTCCCTTCCTCTCTCTGAAATCAATAAAAATATAAAATAATTATTATTTCATAGGTATTTTATAGATACAAAAAGTTGCTAAAAATCAGAAATTCAAAGCATAATCTTAGTTTATTCTCCAGGATTTATTTTAAGTCTTCATTAAATTGTTATTTCATTAAAATTTAAGTTTGATGTTTAAAAACCCTATTCTCCTTAGAAGATAGGAATTTGTACACATTTTTTTTCTATAAATGTGTACACATTTTTATAAATAAAAAGGGAAATAAAAGTTAATGAGGTGCTTTGTAAATATTACCCTCTCTGTTACCTTAACCCCATCAGTTTACTACAGCCTAGTAAATTTAGAGAACATAAAAAGGAAATCAAATAGTGTTGCTTCTTATTCCCCAGTTTAACTTGTATAAATAAAAAGTGTAAATGAAATCAAATTGGGTATATGAATGACACCTACATAGCTTCTTACAACTTCTTGTAATGCACACAAGTGGAAGCTTTCATCCTAAAAATTCCAGTGAATATACCCTATAGTCTCCACAGTGAACTGTTTTAAATTTAATCCTGGCCGCTACCTCATTTTAGAAAATAGGGCATATCTAGAGTTGGGAAGGCCCCATAATGGCCCCTGATTTGCTGTAGAACTTAGACCTAAACTCACAAAAAATTTTCTTACATTTATAATAGCTAAAGCACCTGAGCACAGATTATTTTTGTTGCAATGACAGTAAAAGCAGCTCAAACTAATTTTCGTAAAGAAATATAATTCAGATGGCACACTAATGTAGCACATTTTAAAAATAGATGGTATGCAATACAAACAAAAGCAACACAAAAGTATGTCAAAAGCAAGAAGGACCAATAAATTAGAAGAAACATGTTTAATTTATACTTTCTTCTCTCTGCGAAGACATTTGTATACACAGGTGCACACTACTGCAAGGGCGACAACTATAAAAAAACAGAAAACAAATGACATGTAACTCTGAAAAATAATTTCCAAGATTCAAAATCTAGCAGAAGAAATTATTGTTGGTAACACTTCAGTGGTCAGAAATGCTATTTTATTTAAGCACATGTACTTTCATATTCCACCTGGACTCTTCACTATCTAAGTGCAATTCCCTGGAATCACTAAAAGGGTCCATAGTTAGTCAAAAGAGTCCTTGTTTAGTTTAGAAAATTACCCAAAGCATATTTGGGATGAAAAGTCCTATGACTAATCATCTTGGGGAAAAAAGTATTATTTAGGGTTTGTTACTAAGTGGATGTATAGAATATAAATGAATATACTATCACCAGCAAAAGGTGTATAGCGTATGAAAGGTCAGTTTTTCTACACTGGTTTACTTAATTTCAAGCTATAAACACTATGGAAACTGAAAAATCATTAGAAAAGAATCACTTCTTCACAGTAGTATTTTGATTTAAGTGGTATTCAAGTTTGAGATACTTACGTACAGTAAGAATAATTACAGCAATGATTCCTGGATCTGAGAAAAAAATGAAAAGCAGTTTTAAAGATATTGAGCATGTATGGGTCCCAGAGAGCAGTTGCACTTTATTTTTTATCAGATCATCTAAAAACCACAGCAAAAAAGTATCAATCTAGACTTAGCATAACTGCTAGTACATCCAAGTCCCTTTGATCAAAGAACGCTTCACATAGACTCCAGCTATAGGCTGTGCCTTGTGAAACTCTTAATAGAAACATCACTTGTCATTGTTTTGTGCTGCAGTTACCACACCAGGTTACTTAGTAAAGGTTAATAGGACACTTAGAATTCACTAGATTAGAGAAAATTACTCACACCTGTCTACACATACTATTGCATTTGCTATGGTATCTGCAATACTAAAGTAACTATAAATGTCAAGTATTACTAATAATTTGTGACACCTTGTCTTTTCCCTAATTACAAATAATTGGAACATAATATATTCATGTGGAACTCTAAGGTCTCATGATAAAGAATTATGAATAACTAAACGAATACCTAATTCCACAATCTCTTCAATTGTTGGTGATTCACGAGGTTTGGGATATCCTAGATAAAAGTGGAAATAAGTAAAAAAAGAAGGAAAGACTAAATAAAGCTTAAAGAACTATAACTTCTTTGATTTTGATTTTCTGCATTTGTATAAAAAATGCTTATAATTTCATTTCCTTATAAATTGTGTTAGTGTATTCCATTAAACCAGAATCATAAAATATTCAAAATTTATACTGAATGTCAACAACCTTCATCCTGTGCACCGATATTTCCTGTGACAATACTGTGTAGTATAGCAACAAATTAATCATTACTGTATTCTTAAAATTAGCCTTGAATTCAATATGATTCTACCTAAAATTTAAAAATAAAAATTATTTAGAAGATCTGGAATAGAACCACTCTTTAATATAATAACAGCTATTTATTTTTTTAAAATCCCCATAGCTAACATGACAGTCAATGGTGAAATACTGAAAGTTTTTTCCATGAGATCTGGAACAAGACAGAATGCCCACATTTGCCTCTTCTATTCAACATAATATTGGAAGTTGGGGACAGAGTAATTAGGTAAAAAATAAAATTAAAAGCATCAAAATTGGCATGGAAAAAATAAAAATGATCTCTTTTCACACATGACATGGTCTGTTATGTAAAAGAACTAAAAATTACACAAACCCCCAAACCTGACAGAACTAAGATGAATTTGGCAAAATTGTAGGCTATAAAATCAACATGCAAAAATCAGTAGCATTTATACACACCAAAATAAACAATCCCAGAGGAAATTAAGTAAACAATTCTATTTATAATATCAAAATGAATAAAATACTTTGGAATAACCAAGGAGGTAAAAAATTCCTACAAGACAACAAAATAATGTGGAAACAAATTAAAGACATCAGTAAATAACAAGACATCCTTGTTCATGGATTAGAAGACCTAATGTTGTTAAGGTGTAAATACTGCAAAAACAAACCTACAGTTGAAGTGCAACCCCTATCAAAATCGTGAGTGTGCTTTTCCCAGGAATTAAAACTCCATCCTGAAATTTATACGGAATCTTAAGGCACTCGGAATAGTCAAGGCAATCTTGAAAAAGAAGAGTGAAGTTGAGAGGACTCATGCTTCCTGATTTCAAAACTGATTACAAAGCTGCAATAATCAAAACAATGGCACTGACCTAAACAATACAGACCAATGGAATAACAGAGGGCCTAGCATACATGGTCAAGGGACTGCCCACAATGCGTTTCTAAGAACATTCTGTGGGGAAAGGGTAGTCTTTTCAACAAATGGTTTTTGGAAAACTGGAAATCCACAAGCAAAAGAATGAAGTTGGATGCTCACCTTACACCATATACAAAATTTAGTTCAAAGAGACTAAAAAACTAAATATAAGAGCTAAATCTATTAAAATCTCAGAAGAAAACAGAGGACAAGCTTCATGATGTTGGATCTGGCAATGATTTTTTGGATGTGACACCAAAAGCACAGGCAACAAAGAAAAAATAGATAAATTGGACTTCATCAAAATTAAAAACTTTTGTGAATCAAGCAGCACTATCAATAGAGTGAAAAGGCAACACACAGAATGGAAGGAAACATCTGCAAATCATATACTTGATAAGGGATTAATATACAAAATATATTAACGAACTCCTAAGTATCAACAACAAAAATCCCGACCCAATTCAAAAATGAGCAAAGGTCTTGAATGACATTTCTCCACAGAAGATATACAAATAGCAAATAAGCGCAGGAAAAGATGCTCTGCATCACTAGTCAGGGGAAGGCAGATATACCACTTACCATATTTTACCTACCAGGCATTAGGAGGGCGGTTATCAAAGAACAGAAAATAACAAATGTTGGCAGAGAGGTAGCGAAATTAGAACGTTTTTGCGTTGCTGGTGGGAATGTAAAATGGTGTAGCTGCTCTGGAAGACTAGAACACCTATGAATTTAGAACACCTATGAATTGAATGCATGATTAAACAGTTGGAGAGAAGACAATGAATTCCATAGGTGGTGTTACTTAGCCACTGAAGGGGGGCGGGTGGAGTGGAGAAGAGCCCAATCTGATCCCATATTCCATAATGAATTTCAGATATACCAAGGATTTAAATGCAAAGAATGCAATCAGAACACATGGTGGAAATGTTTACATAACTTGAAGACTTAAAGCTTTTATAAGAAAGACACACACTAAGAGCCATCAGGGAAAACACTGATATACTCAACTACCTATTAATGTAAGACTTCTGCACATGTAACTGACCACAATCTAGAACAGTAAGTGTAAAATGTGAGAGTTTTAGAAAAATATGAACATCACGATTCTATTTCTGGTTAAGAAAAATGAAAAGTGTCAAAGTATGTATAACTACACAGATAAGGATACTGATGTATCCTGACACATAAGAAATAAGAAGACACCTGAATTACTAACAGCAATTAACTCAGACAATGGACCAGAGAAAAAGGGGAAGAACTAATTTTTTACTCTGTATACTTTTGTAATGTTTGAAAATTTACAAAAATACATTTGTATACTACTCATAACAAAAGTTATAAAAAGGAATCTACATCTAATAGTATACTATAAAAATCTTAAAAGAAAATGAACTAGTCAAATTAAGGTAAACAAAACACCTGGATAAATGTTCACTATATATTAAAAGGTCTTTATAATAAGTTTCACAGTCAAGAAATAACATTTTACAAACCCAACAGAAAACTGAGCAAAGGCCATGAATAAATAAATGCTGACAAAAAAGATTCAGCCTCATTAGTGATTATAGAAACGCAAATTCAAAAAAGATGACTTTTCACCCATCAGCCTACAAAGTTCTTAACAGAAGCTGGATAAAGAGTTCATTAACCTGGATAATTCAAAACGGAAGGCCTGGTTGTCTTGAAACCTGGAAAAATAAATTAGATTCCATTCATCAGTCTTATCAATAAAAATTATGGACTTAACTTAATTTCTTATTTTTTAGAAAGATTAATTATTCCTCAAAATTAAATGTATGCATACTTTCCAAACTTTGCATTTCTACTTCTGGGAATATGACCTAAATCTGTATTTACACAGGTGCATATACTGTGTATGTACATATAAGAATGTTCACAACAATTTCATACTTTATAATGAAAACCCTAGAAGTTAGCTGAAAACATATCATAAAAATAATGTGTTCAGAGTAAACATATGTGTTTAAAATATAGCATTATCCAGGTAGTATCATACCAAATAATTTTTATCTTTTTCTGCTTAATATTTCATGAACATTTTTTTCATAGCACAATCACATCTACTTTATCACCACTACGTGTTGCTATTTGTCCTTTGTGTCTAGTTTTTCTCTAACTAGTGATAAAAATTGATTAATGATTCCATGAGGAGTTACGATTTTTATAAAAGATCCTTGCCATTTTTCCTCTTCATAAGCTTTTTCTCACAATCAATTCTCTTCTTCTTTCAAACATTAAATTGTATCAGTGTTTTATAAACCCTTTATGAACTCTCATGGTCAACTCTTTCAAAAGGGCATATGGATACACACAGTATCCCACAGTGCAAATACTCTCTAGGACCATGTGAGTAAACACAGATGGGTCAATGAGTATAAACGTCACATGCAATCTTATGTGTCAGTCCACCAAAAATCATCTCTTCTCACCCCCACCCCAAACCTCAGAGCACTCAACTAAGGTACTCAAGGAGGCTACCAGGTACCAGGTACACAGGGATTATAAAAAGGTGTTCTAATTACCATGTTACATGCACAGCTCCCCTCAATCCTTTAAAGTCTTAGGTCAACAGAATATATACAAGCAAGTTAGAAGCCAGCGACTGAGATTGGATTTCAACACCCTCATTAAACAATAGGACATGAAAGCCCAAGGACAGGATGGATGTTCCATGAGTGAGCAGAACCAAACTAGGGCCCAAGTGAGGTGAGCCCACGCTCCTGATCTTCCCACTATTCCTCTTGCCTCTTGATTCTGCTGAAACCAAAGAGAAGCCAGAGCCAGCAGCACTGAAATGAGGAAGGCAGTTCCCTCCACCGCATGGCAATGATCTCTCAAGTCTTCAGCAGAGCGGTTGAGGAGTCCAGGCCACAAGTCCTCCACTGCATTCCTATAAGTAATGACTTCTCCTGCCTTTCTTCAGTTGGTATGAAATTTAGTTTCTGTTGCCAAATAGAAATGCCCAGTAAAGAGAAAAATATAATTGTATGAGGTGAAGTGGGTGGGGGAGGTGGCAGCAGAAACACCAGTTTTCTGGAGACAGCAGAAATCGCCCAGTTCAAATTGTACTATGTAAGAAGAACTAAACTTGCAGTCTGGGAAATGAAGCATCGTCCTGGACCAGGAAGGTACCTTTAAATGTGTCAACAGATCACTTTTAAAGTGAATTAAAATAGCAAAGTCGGTGACACAAAAAACATACCTATTAGAAAGCACACACCACAGACCTCCCCCTTCACTGACATCAACTGCAGTGATGGTGTCAGTCACAGAGGAGCTTCCGTTAAGAGGCTACTATGCGCCAGGCACTGTGCTAAGTGGTCTAAGTGCAACCAATTGAAGCTGCTTACCCAGGAAGGAAGGCATTAAAGCACTTAAGTGTAAGTAAACACATTTGAAGCTTAAGTAACTTGCCCAAGTTTACATCCCTGTTTACATTTGCAGACTAGAGCAAATAAGTTTAGAATCAGTAACAACAACTAAAATGGCTATAAATATGTTCTCCCTCCTTTTATTATTAAAAGTGATGAATGAGTGTAAATAACATGAATTTAAAAGATTTTCGTAAAATATAAGTAGGATGTCACTAAATTTGAATGATTTAAAATAAGAGGTTTTGACATTGAAAGACATAATAATGTAGGATCAATCACTTGGAAACTATCACTTTCTTTTCATTTATATAAATTATGACTTTCATTCTTATTTAGGTAAAAATTCCCATGATTCATTCAATTTATCCTGAAAAAATGGCTGCTAACCATTTTTATACATAAAAGTACCGAACAAGAGAAATTTATATACCTATGTAATGTACATAACGTGCTAAGAACCCTATGAACACAAACAAAATCACAACAGCAAAATTCTGTATGAACTTTACGTCATACGTCTGTCATGGACAGGAATAGAAGACGGTTAATTACTAAAACTGCTTCTTTTCAATTATTCTGTATGATTGATATTTAATGTCAAAAAACGAAAACCTTAAAAAACAGAATATGATACAATACGTACCTTTAATACACGTTGGCATCTCAGGCTCCCAAGTACTGTTTCCACCACAGAACACTGGGTTACTGCCATTAAGGTAGAAACCCTCCACGCATTCAAATAAAACCTCTTCTTTGTAGAAAAATTTTTCTTTCATTTCTGATAATGGTTTTCCATTTTTGAGATCTGGCTGTTCACACTGAACCACTAAGTAGAGAAATTCCAGAATTAAGAGAAAGTTGCTTTAACATTGTACCAGAAAAAATACTGCAAAGTAGCAATTTCCAGTGGAAAGAGACAAGGGATGAAAGACAAGATGGTAAGTTTTTTTTGTGTTGTTTTTTTTAAAAAATATATTTTTATTGATTTCAGAGAGAGGAAGGGAGAGGGAAAGAGACAGAAACATCAATGATGAGAGTCGTCATTGATCGGCTGCCTCCTGCAGGCCCCAGACTAGCAGCCCGAGCATGTGCCCTGACCGGGAATTGAACCTGGATCTCCTGGATCCTAGGTCAATGCTCAGCCACTGAGCCAGGCTGGCTGGGCAAGATGTTAAGTTTTACAAAAAGACTTTTTATGTGCCCTGGCCAGTGTGGCTCAGTTTGTTGAGCATCATGCCTTGCACCAAAAGGTCACTGGTTGTATTCTGGTCAGGGCACATACTCAGGTTGTGGGTTCGATACCATTTGGGGTGCGAATGGGAGGCAGCCAACTGATGTTTCTCTCTCTCTCTGTCTCTCTCTCAAATCAATAAAAAAATATTTAAAAAATATATAACTTTTTCCTCCTAGAACAAACAGTCATTATAGTTCTTTTGTTTCATACATTTTTTCTACTGAAAATTTTGAGAAAGTGTACCAGATACAAATTCTGGGTAAGTTCAAATGCAACTTTTGTTACTCTTTAGCTCTAGAGCTTTTTTGAAAGTTCATGCTGATTATAATACCCGGTCGTCTCTTTAGAAAGGCAGGAAAGGCTCATGAAAAGAAAATAGTCAAGCTGAAATTTAAAAGTTAAAAAGCTAGCCATGCAAAGATATGCAAAGAAAATGTTCTCAGGTGAAAACAACATATATGAACTGGGATGTTCAAGAAATGGAAAGGTCAATGGAGTTAGGGCCATGTTTTCCAAACATTTTAGACTGCAACCCAGTGATAAAAAAAAAATTAAAAATTAGGTTGTAAACCATTATATAAGCACACAGGGCTGAGACAAAGTTGAATGCTAATACTTAGACTTCATACTACTGTACTCTGGTATTTCCAATGCTGGCCAGGACCTTCTAGATTGATTTCAGAACCCAGTAATGGGTTTGGAAGAATTTGGAAAAAACAAACAAACAAAACTACAAAAAACACACTGGGCTGTTTACAAGAGAACATTTTATGAGATTAAATCTGAGCACTGCATAAGAGCCATAATGCACAGCCTTTTTAACCAGAAGCATGCTCTTCCTCCTCACCTATGGATCTGAATTTCCATCAGGTATCTTTTCCCTTCAGCCTGATGTACTTCCTTTACCAATTCTTGCACTGACAATTCTCTTAGATTTTCTTTTCTGCAGATGTTTTATTTCACCTTCAGTTTTGAAGATTTCTCCTTGACAGAGATTTCTAGGTTAAGTGTTTTATTTTCCTTTCAGTACATTATCAAATATTCCTGTCCTGTAGTCGCCACAGTTCCTTAAGAGAAATCAGTTGTCATTCTTACTTAGAGGGATGGGGCAAATGAAATATTTCTCTCTGTCTCACTGGCTGCTTTTCCTTTTATACTTTGCTTTCAATAGTTTTGCCATGATGTGTTTAGTTTAGTGAGATTTTGTTATAAATAAAAAAATGTATATATCCTGCTAGGTTTACTAAATTTCCTGGACTAGTGGCGCATTGCTGTTTTAGATAAAATTTCAATATTTTTGGCCTTTATTTATTCAAGTAATTTTCTACATTATTCTCTCTCCTTTCTTTCTGAAACTCTAATTACATGTAAGTTTAACTGCTCGCTACTCTCGCGCGGTTCTGTAAGTTTCTTTCTTTACAGTCTTTCTTTTCAAATCATGTTACATTTGCATTGTCATGACTTCAGGTTCACCCATCTTTTCACTGTTGTTCCAATCTGCTGTTAATTCCACCTAATAATTTACTTTTTAAAATATATTTTTTATTGATTTTTAGAGAGGAAAGGAGGGGGAAAGGGAAAAGGGGAAACACCAATAAGAGAGAAACATCAATGAGAGTGAAACACTGGCTGCCGCCTGCAGGCTCCCACTGGGGATCTAGCCAAAAAACTGGGCATGTGCCGACCTGAAATTGAACCAGCAACCTTTCAGTGCATGGGAGGACACCCAACCAACTGAGCCACACCAGCCAGAGCTAATGATTTGCTTTTAAATTAGGCTTACTAGAGGGGGCAGGAGTGGGGTCAGTGCGGGGGGGGGAAAGGGGGACATCTGTAATACTTTCAACAATAAAGATAAATTAAAAAAATAAATTAGCCTTACTGGATATAATTTACATCCAGAGAAATTCACTCTTTTAATTGCATAGCTGTAATAGTTTTATCAAATGCAAATAACCCTGTAATTACCACCATAATAAAGACATATAAAAGTTGCATTATCTCCCAATACTTCCTCATGCCACTCTGTGATCAACCTCCAGTCACTGCACCAATCAGCCAACCACTGCTCAGTTTTCAATCTCTATAGTGTTACTTTTCCAGAATATCACGAATGGGATCATATCCTGAGTATGGCTTATTTCACTAAGCAAAATACATTTGAGTTTCATTCCTGTGGCTGCATGATTCAGGAGATTTATTGCTGTGTATTTATACCATTATATGGATGTACCACAGTTGTTTATACATTTACCAGTTGAAGAACATGTGGGTAGTTTCTAGTGTGGGATGATTACAACTAAGGTGGCTATGAATATTCTCATACAGGCTTTTTCAAAATTTTCTTTTATGTGGCTACCCAAGTTGTATGGTAGATGTATTTTAAATTTTGTAAGATATTGCAAAACTGAGTTCCAAAGTGGTCATGCCACTTTACCTTCTTACCAGTAATGCCAAATAGTTTCAATTGCTCCCTATCCTTGTCAGATAAAGTTGAAAGTCAATATTTATACTTGTTTTCATGTCACACATTTAAAAAGGTGTTTAGTGGTATCTCCTTGTGGTTCTTAATTACATTTTTGTAATTACTAATGATACTGAGCCCATTTTCATTTACTTTTTTGTCATCTGTATATCATGTTTGGTGAAATAGGTATATTCAAATCTTTTGCCTATTTAAAAATTTGGATTGTTCTATCATTGAGCTGTGAGAGTTCTTTATATATTGAAGATAAAAGTTCATTATCAGATGTGTGCTTTGCAAATATTTTCTATTTATTGCTTTTTTTCCCATTGTCTTAACAGTCTTTTGCAGACCAGAGATTTTGAGTTTGGAACATCCAATTTATTAAATTTTTTAAAGAATCATGCTTTATGGGCTTTAAGAAATCTTTGGCTTGGTCACAAATATATCCTAAGTTTTCTTGTAAAAGTCTTTAGTTTTAGGTTTTAAATGTAAGTCTGTGACCCGTTGTGAGTAAATGTTTGCACATGGTGCTTACATAGGTTCTGGTTCTTTTTTTCTCATATGGAAGTCGAATTGTGTCTGTGCCATTTTTGAAAAGAGGATCATTTTACCGCTGATTTGTTTACATATCTGAGATGAAATCAACTGGATATATTTACAAGGGTCTAATTCTGGACTCACTACTCTGTTCCATTGCTCCCTATAGCTGTATGCCTTATAGTATACTTTATATAGACTCTTGACATCAGGTAGTGTGTATCCTTTAATTACTTTCAAAATTCTTTTGACTATTCTAGTTTGTTATTCCATGTAAATTTTAGGATCAGTTTATGAATTTACAGAAAGTTCTGCATGATTTCTTATTGAGATTGTGCTGAACTTATAGATCAAACACAGAGAATTCATGTCTTTATTATACTGAGCCTTCCAATTGATGGCCAATATATGTCCCGTCATATAGTAAGATCTTTCTTAATTTCCTTTATTGGTGCTTGGTAGTTTTCAGCATTCAAATCTTTTCAAATATACTGATAGATTTATATAAAAGTATTTGGTATATTGGAGGTGTTGTAAACAGCAATTTTAAAATTTCAATTTCTAGTGGTTTACTCTTAGTGTATAGACATACAATTGATTTCTGCAAGTTGATCTTGTATTTTGCAGCATTGCTAAACCTAAAGTCTTTGGGAGTTTTTACACAGACAATAATGTCATAAGTGAAGAGGCTATTTTATTGCTTCCTTTAAAATTGGTATGCCTATTTCCTTTGTTGCCTTGTTGTAGGACCTCCAGTACAATGCTGAATAGAGTGGTGAGAGTGAGTGTACTTCCCTGGTTCCTACCTTGGGAGAAAATAAATTAGTCTTTTACCATTAAGAATAATGTAAGTGTGAGATTTCTGTAAATGCCTTTTACCAGGTTGAGATATTTAGTTTTCTTCTATTCCTAGTTTGCTCAGAAGTCTTATCATGAAAAGATACTGAGTTCTGTCAGTTGCTTCTCTAGGGCATCTAATAAGATGATCATATGCTGTTTTCTTCTTTACAGTCTCTTGATATTGAAAATTACACTGATTAATTTTTGAATTTGGATCAACTTTGCATTTATGGGATAAATCCTAATTGGTTATGATGTATTATTAGTGTTATATATGGCAGGATTTGATTTGTGGATATTTTGTTTAGATGTTTTGGTTCTGTATTTATTAAAGATATTGCTTGTAATTTTCTTGCAATGTTTTTGTCTGGTTTTGGTATCACACTAATGTCCTTATGAAATAAGCTGAGAAGTGTTCCCTTCTCTTATATTTCATGAAGAGTTTGTGTAGAGGTGCTAATGTTTATTTCTAAAATGTTTGGTAGAATTCCCCAGGTAGGCCATCTGGGTCTACAGTTCTCATTAAGGGAAGGTTTTAACTGTTTCTATACAGGTTATCTATATCTTTAAGTAGTTTTAAAATTTTGTGTCTTAAAAAATTTTTTTTTGATTGTAAGACCACCTTGTTGGGCTACTACTCTTCTACTAGCAAGAAAACTGAGCCTTAGAAAGATAAATAAACTTAGCCAAGGTAACCCAGCTACATGGCAGAGCAGGATTTGGAAGTTACAAAATCTTTCTTATTTAAAAATATGCTCCCATGGTTAAAAGTGTTTTACTGAAAAATCTGGGTGAAGATTCAAGGCCCATCTCACCGCACTCAATTTTTTCTCTTTACCCATCCCTCCACTCTCCTCCCCTTTGGCAACCATTAGCTTGTTCTCTGTATCTATAGTTGGTTTCTGTTTGGTTTGTTAATTTGTGTTGTTGTTTTACATTCTGCAAATAAGTAAAATCATATAATATTTGTCTTTTTCTCTCTGATTTCACTTAGCCTACTACCCGCTAGGTCCATCCATGTTGTCACGAATGGCGAGCTTTCTCATTCCTGTGACGTTCTCCTTACCCACTCACCTATCGGTGGGCACCAGTAATTTGTTTCTTTCAAGGAATTTGTCAATTTCAGTTAAGTGGTGAAATTTATAGGCATAAAGTTTTTCTGTAACATCCCCTTATTCCCTGTGTCTACAGAATACTCAGTGTCGTCTTTTTCATTCTTGATATTGGTAATATCGTCTTTTTACTTGTCATTCTAGCAACAGGTTTATCTACTTTATGATTCTTCACCAAGAAGCACGTGTTAGTTTCATTGCTTTTTCTCTATTATCTTTTCAATTTCATTGATTTTTAAACTGATTACCCCGTCTCTGTTTTGAGTTTACCCTTCTCAGTTTTTTTAAAATGAAATTTCCAGATTATTGATTTGAGATATTTTTTGTACTGTATTTTATGCTCTAAAATTTTCTCTAAGCAGTATTTTTGCTGTATCACACAAATTTTGATATTTTGATATGTTGTGTTTTCATTTTTATTGAATTCAAAACACTTTCTATTTTTTCTTGTGAGTTCTTCGACTCAATGGTTAGTTAGACATTTTACATAGCTGTTAACTGCCAGTCAGGCAGCACTTGACAGCGAGGATACATTCTGAGAATTGTGTCATTAGGCGATTGCATCACCGTGTAGACATCATAGAGAGTACTTACAAAATCCTAGATGGGATAGCCTACTACTGTAATATGACTGACAGCGCAGTAGGTTTGTTTACACCAGCATCACCACAAACACATGAATACTACACTGTGCTGGGACAGGATTTCCTAGGTGACAGCAATTTCTCTGCTCCATTATAATCTTATAGGACCACCATCATATATACAGTCCATCATTGACTGAAACACCTATGAGGCACAAGGCTGAATTTGGAGATTTAAAAAATTATCTCTGTTTTGATTTCTAAATTTATTCCAACATGACCATATAATGTACTCTGGTTTGAATAATTTTAAAAAATTATCTTATTGCCCAGAATATGGTCTATCCTAGAGAATGTTCCGTATACACTTGTAAAGAGTAAATATTTTGTTGTAATTCAGTGGTCCCTTTTCTTCCAAAAGTCAAATCCCCTTCACTGTCTCCCGGGTTTTGGTTACTCTCTAGTGCCTTAAACACTGTTTTTAAAATATGTGTGTAGAGTTTATCATTGTTATAGGTAAGAGAGCTAGTCTTTTACAATTTACTCCACCATTACCTACTGCTATACCTCTCAGATGTTTTAATATTAAAAAACTTTATTTTTAAGAGTGTGTGTTCAGTTTTTAGTTCCTCCAAGCAAAAAAATCCTAATGTATGCATGTACACAGTAGTTCTCATTGTATAAACTGGAATGCCAAGAACATGTTGGGGGGAGTGGCTTCTACAACTAGAACTATTTTTGATTCAATTTGACATATAATAAATTAAAAGTTAATTTAACAGGAGGAGGAGGCACATAGGTCTGTTTATTTATATGTAGAACTACCTACAAAGTGTTTCCAGTGTACTTACAAATGCATAAGAAAATAAATGGAAATATCATTACCTTTACATTCAGGAGGGTCGCTACTCCATTTGCCAGGCCCAGAACAAGTTAGCCTGTTCTCTCCAACAAGTGAATACTCCTGTGGTCCATGTGAAGGATCACAACTATAAGTTACTCCTTCATTAAATTCAAATACATCCCTCCAGCTATTTGTGAATTTTCCATTTTTTATTTTTCCAGGAGCCTTACACAAAATCTCTTAAAAAGAGAAAAAAAGAGGAAATGAGATGCAAAAGGGAAGATGAAAGAGCAAGACAACATTTAGTAAAATCCTATGAACTGTCTTCAATTTCGTTAACATATGATTTCTACACTGTAGTTGTGAATCCAGTGTCCATTCAGAATGTTTCTATGAGAACGTGTGTTACCCCAAAGTCAAACCATGTAGAAATGAACTTTCAAAAGAAAACTGATTTTCTTAAATACTGACATGAAATACTTATATTTATCTATGAGGCTAAGTTTTATTCTAGTCATCATAAGAGTTGCTGAAAATTTAAGGAGAAAATATGCATGTGATTAAAGATAAAATTCACTGCTAGTTGAGAAATGCTTTTTTATAAATATATCCATTTGCTTAGTCATTGGTTCACAATTGTACTAAGATAGTCTTTTTTCACTTTCAACCTTACAAGTGTACAGTGAAATTTTCCAGAAGCTACAATTTGTGTTATTTCACAACAGACTAAATCTAGGTATCTTCCTTTAAGCCAGATTTTGAAGAGATTTATAAAAATGTATATCAATGTTACTATTCTCACTAATTTTTTTGGAAATTTTAAAATTATTTTATAAAAAATACATTGCATATTTTAACATGCATCAACTTTACTGTTTTAAAAATATAAATAAATAATTATTTTAGAAACTTCTGTTTTCATTCCAATATAATGAGTATCAGTAGACATTATCCCCCATAGAGCAGAGTTCTTTGGTATCTTTGTTAATGAAAAACATAAAGGGCAAACAAGAGTGTTGGCAAGAATGTGGAGAAAAGGAGAACTCTTACACTGTTGGTGAGACAGTAAGTTGGTGGAGCCACTATGGAAAACAGTTGCAATGTTCCTCAAAATATTAAAAATAGATGTACCATATGACCCAACAATTCTACTTCACTTGTGGGTATTTACCACAATTAAACAAGCACTAATTTAAAAAGATATAAAAACTCGTAGGTTCAGTGCAGCATTTTTTACAATATAGCCAAGGTACAGGAACAACTTAGGTGTCCACCAATTGATGAATGGATAACAAAGATGTGAGATATATATCTATATATATTTATATATACATTTATATAGTATAAATATACATCCATATACAATGGAATATTACTCAGCCATAAAGAAGACTGAAATCTATCTTGTCATTTGCAACAACACTGATGGACCTAGAGGGTATTATGCTAAGTTAAATAAGTCAGACAGAGAAAGCAAATACCATATTTCATTTATATGTAGAATTTAAAATAAGAATGCAAACAAAACAAACAGAAATAGACTCAAAAATTAAGAGAACAAACTGATTGTTCTGGAGTAAAGGGGGCTGGGAAGATGAATAGATAAGGAGAAGGGGAGTAAGAGGTACAGACTTCCAGTTATAAAATCAATCAGGTGACTTGATATAATGTACAGCACAGAGAATATATTCAATAATAATATAATAAATTTGTATGGTGACAAATGGTTACTAGATTTATCATAGTGATTACATTGTAAGGCACATAAATGTTGAATAACTATGTTGTGCACCTGAAACTGATATAATATTGTATGTCAACTATACTTTACTTGCAAAAATATCAGCATAAGTGGGTTGGTCTCAAGGCCCAAAACATTGATAACTGCTGGTTTAAATTATGAAGTGAAAATTTACTTACTTTCACATTTTGGGATATCATGGTTCCAATACACTTTGTCTCCATTAAGTTTACAAGTTATAATTGGTTCACCTACTAAGTAATAACTAAATGGGGGGAAAAATAAAAGGTTACTGTTTTCTTTACCAGCCAACAAGATGTACATAATAAAGAAGAATATTTCCTATAGTTGTTTTCTGCACTTCAGTCAGTTGAGGGGACAGTTTCTTAAATGGCATAATATAATGAAAGTGTTAACCAAATATGGAATTTAATGAAACAGTTTCTGCATTTGAACACATATTGGCCATGAGCAAGGATATCTTAATAAACCTGTCATGGCTGTCAGTCTGGCCTCTTTGCTATCTCTGCCATAACATACAGATTAATTTCCATGCCTCTGCTCCTTCCACTCTGCTCAGTCATACAACAACCAAGTACAGAGATCAGGCCCTAGAGCTTGCCTGACTGGATTCAAGTCCCAGCTCCACCGCTGACTTGTTACTTGAGGTTGGGCAAATCCTTAATGTTTCTCTTTAAGGAGATAATAGTATGTATCTCATGAGGTTGTTTTCAGTATTAGCTGAGTTAGTGTCTGGCACACAGGGAGTGCCAGGTAAGTTTTAGCTGTTATTAATACTGGCATACCTCAGAGATATCACGGGTTTGGTTTCAGACCACGACAATCAAGTGAGTATCACAAGAACTCGAATTATACCACTTTTTGGTTGACCAGTGCATATCAAGCTATATTTATACTATACTGTAGTCTACTGAGTGTGCAACAGCATTATGTCTAAAGAAACAATGTATATATCTTAATTAAAAATGCTTTATTGCTAAAAAATGCTAATCATCACTTGAGCCTTCAGTCAAGTTGTAACTTTTTTGCCGGAGGAGGGTTATGCCTTGATGTTGATGAAAATGCAATATAGGTGTAGAGCAATAAAGCAAAGCACAATAAACCAAGGCATGCATCATGTATTCTTTAAATCAGAATATGTTTCTAGGAACAGTTCAGACATACTGCTTGTTGAANTATGTTTCTAGGAATAGCTCAGACATACTGCTTGTTGAAACCTTCTCCAATTATTTAATTTCACAGTACTCTCTCCTGGATTCTCACTACAATAATCATGGTACTTCTCCTTCACTATTTTGCCTTGACATTTCTCTGTATACAGTGTGTTTCTCCATAAGGCTACAATTTCTGTGAGAAAAATCTGTCTTAAATGTTTGGCACCCTTCAAAATGCTTTAGCAATCCCTCTATATATAATTATTAAATGGATGTTCCATTATTTTTACTTGATTAAGTTAAAAAAGTTAGTGAAACGGCTTGTATATAGTTTCAGTTGGCTTTTCCAAGAAGACTCACTCATTTTCTCCATATTTTAGTGNGATGTTCCATTATTTTTACTTGATTAAGTTTAAAAAGTTAGTGAAACGGCTTGTATATAGTTTCAGTTGGCTTTTCCAAGAAGACTCACTCCTTTTCTCCATATTTTAGTGTTTTAAGAGAGAATTCTGAGAAGATGGCAGAGTAGGAAGCACTAGGACTTCATCTCTCCAACTAGAAAACAATTTCAATGGCAGAATCTGCTTAATGTAACTATTTTGGAACTCTGCAGTCTACTGAAGGCTTGCAACTGCCAGGGGAAGACTCCAACAAGTAAATGTAATTTCAGTAAATTTCAGCCCTCAGGAAAATAGCAGCTACACATCCCCATCACCCAAAATGTGGCGGGCAGCTGTGTATGTATTCTTCAAACATCCTGCAGTAGCCAGGTGGGCAAAAAGGCCCTGTCCTACAAATATCAGGGGTTTGTGTTCTGATTACTGCTTCTGATTACTGAGTAGTAGACAAAGAGTTGGGAGGCCATTGTTGTGGCATCTCCCTCCTCCTCTAGCCAGCCTTTTCCTCCCCAGGTGAAATGATTTTCAGGGGATTTAAAGATCCTGCACACTTTTCTCTCTATTTCATATTTTTCTTTTCCTCTCTCAGAAGCCAGACATTAAAACCGAGGATCTTTAAAAAGAACTGCTTATATATGGAAAATTAGAAATTGAGTTCATGTGCTCAGGGAAAGGCTCAGAAACAACCTGAGGAGATCTTCAGTTTATATCTTGGGCTGATCCTCAGCACAGAGACACCCTACTACAATCAAGAATACAAAAAAAAACCCCACCCAAATATAGGAAGGTCTAAGAAAGATGAAGAAGCTGATTTCTAGAGTTACCACATTGTTAGATTAAAATATGCAGTATTAAAACAACAACAACAACAAAAAATCACAAGGCATACAGAGAAAGAAGAATACATGATCCAATTTAACTTTTTAAAAAAATTGATTTCAGAGAGAGGAAGGGAGAGGGAGAGAGAGATAGAAACATCAATGATGAGGGAAGGTCATTGATTAACTGCCTCCTGTATCCCCCCTGTTGGGAACTGAGCCAGCAACCCTGGCATGTGCCCTGACGGGGAATCAAACCACAACCTCCTAGATAGATGTTCAACCACTGAACAATGCTGGCTGGGCAATGAACGATTCATTTTTAAAAAATCAACAAACTGTCCCTGATACAGGTGCACTGGCAGATTTACTAAACAAAGACTTCAAAATTACTCTTAAATGCTCAAAGAACTAAATGAAAAAGTAGAGGAAGTCAAGAAAATGATGTGTGAACATAACTGAAATATCAATAAGGAGATAGAAAACCTGAAAAAAAAATTCTGGAGCTCAAAAGTACAATAACTGCTATGAAAAATTCACTAGAGGTATTAAAGGCAGATTTGATCAGGCAGAAGAATGAATCAGTGAACATGAAGTTAGAACAATAAAAATTATCCTGTCTGAAGAACAGAAAGAAAAACAAGTGAAGAAAAGTTAACAGAGCCTAAGGGACCTGTGGGATACCATCAAGTGGACCAACATGTACATTATGAGAATCCCAAAAGAAGAAGAAAGACAGAAATGCACAAAAAGAATATATGAGAAAATCATGGCTGACAACTTCCCAAATTTGATAATAGACATGAATTTAAACATCTAAGAGCTCAATAACCACCAGATAAAATTATTTCAAAGTGTCCCACACTAAGACACAATACAGTTGACTCTCCAAATCTGCAGGTTTCACATCTGTAGATTTAACCAACCAAGAATTGAAAATATTCTTAAAAAGAATACGTATTTTTTTCTTGATATTTTTTTCTTGTCATTATTCCATAAACAATATAGTGTAACAACTATTTATATAGCCTTTACCTTTTATTAGATATTACAAGTAATCTAGAGGTGATTTAAAGTATACAGGAGGATGCCTGTAGGTTATGTGCAAATACTTTGCCCTTTTATATAAGGGACTTGGAATGGTATCCCCTAGGAGGATGGCAGCGGTGCTGGAAATAAGCCCTCAATGATACGTAAGGACTACTACTGTAATCAAACATTCAAAAACCAAAGGGATCTTCAATAATATAATCAGCAGATCATCAGAAAATTTGGACCCCAGAAGACAGTGGGCTGATATACTAAAAGTGCTAAAAGAAAACAAACAAACTTTAAACCAAAAATACTCTATCCAGCAAAACTGTCCTCAAAGTGAGGGAGGAATTAAGACAGTCCCAGGTAAACAAAAGCTGAGGGAATTTCTGGCCACTAGAACTTACGTGCAAGAAATTCTCAAGGGAGTCCTACAAGATCAAATAAAAGGACACTAGAAAGTAACTTTGACCCATATAGGAAAATAAACATCTCACTAAAGGTAAATACATGGGCAATTATAAAAGCTTATATTTAACTTTGCCTTTTAACTCCAAATCTTGTTTTCTATATAATTTAAGAGAGAATGCATTTAAAAGAACTATTAAGTTATGTTTTGGGACACACAATATATAAAGATGCATTTTTGTGATGATAACAACCAAATGGGGTAGGTATGAAGCTGTAAAGGAGTTAAATTTTTGTGCTAAGCTGGTATACATTCTAATTAGATTGATATAACTTTAGGATTTTAAATGTAACCCCCATGGTAACCACAAAGAAAATAGCCATAGAATATACACAAAAGGAAATGAGAAAGGAATTTAAACATTTCATTACAAAAAGTCAATTAACAAAAAAGGAAGACAGTAATGCAGGAAATGAAACAAAAAAGCTGTCAGACATATAGAAAGCAAATACCACACAGGCAGAATCCCCTCCTTGTCATTAATTAGCCTACATTTAAATTACAAACTCTCTAATCAAAAGAAAGAGGTTGGCAGATGGGCAAAAACACATGATCCTATTATATGCTGTCAACAAAAGACTCCCTTGAGATCCAAAGACAAGATCAGGTTGAAAGTGAATGGGTGGAAAAAGATATTCTATGCACACAGTATCCCAAAAAGAGCAGGGGTGCCGGGCCAGGTGTGGCTCAGCGGTTGAGCATCGACCTGGGATCCAGGTGATCAGGGTTCAATTCCCAGTCAGGGAACATGCCCAGGTTGCGGGCTCGATCAATGACTCTCTCATCATTGATGTTTCTATCTCTCTCTCCCTCTCCTTTCCTCTCTCTGAAATCAATAAAGATATATTTAAAAAAAAAAAAAGAAAGAGCAGGGGTGTCTCTACTAATATCAGGTAAAACAGACTTAAAATCAAAGAAGGTTGCAAGAGACAAAGAACCTTAAATATTAATAAAAGGTACATATAACAAGCAGATATAAACATTTTTGACAGCTTAATGACAGATCATCAAAATATATGAAGCAAACAGAATTGAAGGGAAAAATGCACATTTATACATACCAACATTTCTACAATAATAGTTCACTACCCCACTCACAATAAAGGATAGAACAACCAGACCGAAAATATGTAAGGCATTAGAGGACTCCAACAACACATTTCTGTGAGCCCTCCAACTGATTTTTTTTTTTTTTTTAAATAGGGTGCACTTTGTTGTCAAGGATAAAGTCACCATGATTACTACACTTGTGATGCTTACAATAAGCATATTATGACATATAGAAAGGGTTATGTAATTTGGCTTTCCTTCCATTTAAATTTCTTTCTATTAAGTACATATGTTTTCAGTCTCCATAAAAAGTCCAAGTATTGATTTGCTACAAGTACAACTTGTCACACAGAAAACAAGATGAAATCAACTTTATGGAAATGCTTGAGAAGAAAAACAATATGCAATCAGTAACATTTGCCTTATTTTCTCTAAAGAGCAACTTACCCGTAGTTGCAATAAAAGTAAGCGTCTCTATCAAAAGAAAAGCCCAGTGGTGGGTCTACCTCTTCATATACTTCACCATTTTCAATTTTGGGGACTGGACACTGTTTTCCTAAAAGGAAATTTTCAAATTTATTTTTTAATACAAATTTCAAAACATATTTAAATAAAAATCAAAATTCTACACTGCTCTTTTCAATGCATGCAATACTGTTTTCCTAAGTTAACTATTATAAGGGAAAACATAAAATTCACATTTACCCAGGCAACCAACTGCCTACAAAAAAATTCCTGGGAGATTTGTAAAAGTCTAAAAATCTGTGCCACTATCTAAAACCTAGTTCCACATGAGATCATCTTTGCCATAGTGGAAAATGAACCCAAAAATGTGTAAAAAAACAAAACTAGAGCAAGCACACGCACATACAAGAATGGTTTTGTTTACTTACTGTAACAAGCTTCATCAATAGGGAGCCATGTGTTATTTTTCTCACAAAAGGAACTGAGTGTAAAATAATATGAGTAAGAGTATCCTGGTTTACACTCATAAAATATTCTCTCCCCTGGAGAATATGAAGGTTTAGGGTTACCCCTTAACCTCATAGACTCGAACTCTGGTGGTTTACCACAGTTACCTAAAAATAAGAAAAGAAGAACATAAAAATAAAATATGTAATCACTTAGACTAGCCAGAGACTGAGGCCTGGCAGCAAGTAGGTGGTACAGAATAAATGGAAAAGTCCTTGGCAGATTTTAAATAACTGTTCCCTGCTCTTACCCAAGTGGCTGTAGTAATGGGCGATGTGTAGCATTTGCTTTAAATAACATTCTATTAGCTTTTGGTTTGTTGGGAAATGAGCT